AACAATTGGATATAAGCTCCTAGCTTGGATGATCCAGAAGCGCATCCAAAATGGCGGGGCAGAGCAGAGAATGCGTGCGAGCCAGTTCGGTTTCCGCCCGGGCAGAGGCACCGCGCAAGCCATCAGCATCGCACGTCGCATGTTCGAAGCTGCGCAGACAGGTAAAGCGCCAGGATTGATTGCAGTATTGCTTGATTGGTCAAAAGCTTTCGATCGAATTCGACATGATGCTCTTCTGGGTGCCCAACGAAGATTCGGATTACCTTCTGACATAATGCAGCTGATTGCGTCCATCTACAAGCACAGAAGCTTCATCTTAAAGGATCCTGCAAGGAACTCCCGCCAAAGGACACAAGCCGCAGGGATCGCCCAAGGGTGTCCGCTTTCTCCTTATTTGTTTATATGTAATTGTACAGGGCGTCATGTTCTTCGACATAGACAGACGAATAGCGAGCCTGCACGAAGATATTGTGGAACCGAAGTATCTAGTATGCCGTGATCTATTATACGCTGACGACACAATGCTCATCAGCAGCGACTCCAGGAAATTGCAAACTTTTCTGGACATAGTGATTGATGAAGGCCGAAGGTACGGATTAGATCTCAACTGGGACAAGACTGTATGCATGCGCTTGCATAACTCCAGAATAATTTCTTCACCAACTGGCGCTCCGCTGAAAACCGTTGAGCAAGCTGTGTAGTTGGGGGGCCTGCTGAACGTCCACTGCGTAGCTCAACCAGAAGTGACAAGAAGAGTTGGTGAGGCCAAAGCAACCTTCAAGAGCCTAGCCCGGTGTTGGTCGCACGCCAACATCTGTCGCCGCAGAAACATTGAATTGTACAAAGCTGTCGTGTTGCCGAAGCTGTTGTATATTTTAGAGACTTCGTGGCTGTTGCAAGCGGACAAAATCGTCTGGATAGTTTTCACACTCAATGTTTAAGGCGAATCCTCAACATCCCTAGCGCGTATGCTTCACGAGTCTCCAATACGGAGATTCTGGACAAAGCGGGGGAACTTCCATTGAGCTGCACGTTGCGCGAGCGTCAGACGGCGCTGTATAGTAAAATTGTAGCGTTGCCGGAAGACCACCCTCTCAGACTTTTAACATGTGAGCCAGGCACTGGCCGGCCAAGAAAATGGGAGCACCAGCGACGCAGGGGGAGGCCTAAACAGCAGTGGGCTCCTTGCGTCTATGCGCTTTTGCTTGCAAAGGGGATGTAGCCCTGGTCCCCTTGCTTCCTTCCCCTCCCCTCCTCCCCCCCCTCCCTCCCCCCCTCCCCGTCCCCACTTTTCCTCACAGGTGGAGCCGATGCGTTCTCATGGAATTTCGTATCGCATTTGTCCGGCGACAGCGGGCCACTTCACCCCAGGCCAGGCTCACATCGATGTTTTTGCCGTGGAGAAAGGTAGGTACGTATTGTGCTTCACAGTCGTGGGGCGCTCAACTTTTCTCTGCTTCACAGTCGGGCGCCCTGTGCCAATTGCACACGTTTCTGTCCACACGCCCTGCCGGAAATCTGGCTCAGTGGCGGCAGTGGTGCCCAAGAGCCGTACCAGGGCTGGCGCGTAGCTTCTGCATTGCACTGTAATCACTTTTTATATACCAATGCGCCGTGCGAGCGCCAGGCTTGACACTCCGTGCCGCACCGCTACACGTGTCGGTAAGGCGGGCCGTGCGTTTCGCCGGAGACTTCCTCACTATTTTGATCCTGAGGATTGAGATTTGCAACAGCTCCACAGATGGAGGGCGGGCCGCTGTCAAAATGTGATCCTCGCCATAACGCCGCGTACATTCGTCTTAAGGTTGGCAACAGCTTCAAAGATGGAGGGCGGGCCGTCTTCAAAATGCGGCTCTCGCTTTAGCCCCACGCACATTCGTCTTCACCACTTGCAAAGGCTTCAACGATGGAGGGCAAGCAGTCTTCAGAATGTGCTCTCGCCTGAGCGCCGCGCGCATTCGTCTTGAAACTTCGCACCTGTTTGAAGATCTCGCATGGTTCAAGTCCTAGGAATGGTGCTCTGACACGATCTAGAACTGTCAGGACTCAACAATCACGTTGATTCGCGGCGCCGACGTCCCAGGAATGGCCTTCTGGCACGATGAGGGATTACCAGGGCGCAACAGTAACGTTGGTTCGCGGCGCTGAAGTCCCTGGAACTGTGTTCTGTCACGAATTGGGATTATCCAGACGCAAAGTCAAATTGTTTCGCGGCGCTGAACTGTGAGGAATGGTGTTTTGGCACGGTCAGAGATTCTCGGACGGTGTTCTTCCAACGGGACACGTCCCGCAATGAAAATTGATTATTGTAGAGACCTACGGAGAGGGATCTTGGCGGGAGGAAGTGTTGGAGCATCGCTGCTGGGTCTTGGGTTTGCACTGGTACTCCTCCTCCTCCTCCTCATCCTCCATTTCTTTTCCTTATAAACAACCTCTCCGTGCCGCACCGCTGCACGTGTCGGTAGGGCGGGCCGTGCGTTTCGCCTGAGACTCCCTCACCATTTTTGATCCTGAAGATTGAATTTGTAACAGCTTCACAGATAGAGAGCGGGCCGCTGTCAAAATGTGGTCCTCGCCATAACGCCGCGTACATTCGTCTTGAAGATTGCGACGGCTTCAAAGATGGAGGGCGGGCCGTCTTCAAAATGTGGCTCTCGCAGTAGCACCACGCACATTCGTCCTCACCGCTTGCAAAGGCTTCAACGATGGAGGGCAAGCAGTCTTCAGAATGTGGCTCTCGCCTGAGCGGCGCGAACATGCCCTTGAAAGTTCGCACCTGTTTGAAGAACTCGCATAGCTGACGTCCCAGGAATGGTGCTCTGACACGATCTAGGACTGTCAGGACGCAAAAGTCACCTTGATTCGCGGCGCCGACGTCCCAGGAATGGCCTTCTGGCAGGTTCGTGTCGTGCTGGCCGGCGGCGAACCCGCCGCCGGCCTTCAACGTTGAGCGCCGCCGGCGACTCAGAATCGGTGGGGATTGAACGGTGTGACGTTTCTGGAACGGTCGATCGTTCAAGGTGAAACGATCACCGCAGGGTCAGAGACCAACGCCAGGGTCGGCAGCCCTGATACGGCAGGTTCGTGCCGTGCCGTACCCGGCGTGGCTCTGACCCCGCGGGGATCGTTCCACCTTGAACGATCGGCCGTTCCCGAAACGTCGGGCCGTGCAGTCTCCACCGATTCTGGGTCGCCGGCGGCGCTCAACGTTGAACTCCAGCGGCGGGGTCGCCGCCGGTCGGCACGACACGAAACTGCCGTAGGCAGGGCAGCGGGGAGCTAGCTGCAGTCGGTGCTCACGGAGACCCTCGGCCGACCGCTCCAGTAAGCCAGCAATCACGTCCTCTGAGCACTGTCGTCCACCAGTTGCCAGGGTGCGAAGAAACTGATTGCTGCACCTCCCACCCGCCCTCTGGTCCGACCCGCCCCCTCGGGAGAGGGAAGGCATGCTTCCCGGGACCTGCAGGGGGGTGTAGAAGGAAGGGCTCTGGCTACGCGCCGCCACGCGCCCCTTCTTGCGAGGCAGTGGGGCGGGCAAAGGAGACGAACTCGGTTCTGGATCCAGCCAGGTGGAGAACAACCCCAGGACCCTCTGAGCGACGACAGGACCTCCTGGTCCCAGCTCTGGGGGTGGCGCGAGCGGAAGGGATCACGGACTAAAGCCCCGAAACGGCCGCAGCGAGTTCTGGCAGTGGGCTTCGAGATCAGCCAGGGGCCGCAAGGGTTCTGGGCCGGAGGGGCGCGCCCGCAGAACAAATCTTGACCGTCGGGGAATCCGTGTGGAAGTACCTCGAACATCTCTTGGACGGGCCATCTCCAAGTTGCCACATCTTCCGTTCTCGTCGGGTCGGCCAGCTAGCCCACCCTGCGCCCGATGCTATCTTAACTCAGGTTACCGACCGAGCTCTACGAGGTAGTAACGCCCGTCCCTACGGGCGTGCGCGGGCATGCGTGGGCGCGCAGGAGGGGTGGATCCCCTTGGAATCCTCCCCCACACCAGCTCCTCAAGCGCCGCTGAGCACGGACGCCCGACCTGAACAGGCGCCGTCCTGACGACAGCGTTGCGCCAGCCGTGCAGAAGCAGTGTCGGCAAAGCAGCGGCAGCATGGGCAGCGCGAGCCTGCTTAGACAGTGGAGGAACAAACAAATGAGTGAACCCTCCGCGCGGAGCTCCGAAAATTTATGCTCATGCCTTTCTTCTCTTCGAGGTAAGCTTTGGACGCCCGAAATGGGTACGGAAAAATGGGTACGATGCCCAACAGCAAACGCTGTCCAAAACCGACAGCGGCCGCTGTTGGGAAGGCGGTCTTCTGTCTCAAATGGACAACGTCCGTGGCGACACCGACAGCGAACCCTGTTCAAAATGACAAAGAACTGCTGTCGCTCTTCGTCCGCAAGAGTTTCGATCGTACTGACAAGCCCTCGCCCGACCTCTTCCTCCAAGAGGCCCCCGGGAGAGGACCGGCAGGGCCTCCCTCCCAGGGGAGCGCAGTGCGAGAGGGGCCCCAACAGCGGCCGAGCGAAATCCCCCCTCCCAGACCTGTGACTGCAGCCGCGAGGTTCTGGAGATGGCCAGGGCGCCCCATCCTGAGGGCGGCGGAGGGCGAGAGCCCACCGCGCACGAGGAGGCCCTGCCTGGTGCCTGGCCCCTGCGCGGCTGCGTGCATGATCTCTGACGCTGCGAGCACTGCGGCGCCCCACGGCCTGCCTGGGAGAGGGGGGGAGAGAGCACCACACCTCTCGGGGTTCCCGGCTCCAGCACGCTTGCCCCCGATGCTCCCACCCCCAGCGGCCCCAGGCAGCTGCTGGCAGGACGGAAGGAAGATTCGAGATTCGAGGGAGGGAGGCTCGAGGAGGAGTGACAGGGAGGAGAGGGCGGGGCCGGAAGGCTGAGGGGAGGAGTGGGGGAGAGAGTGGCAGGGAGCGAGCGGCACGGAGGCGAGGAGACGAGGGCGCGGCACCGAGACAGGAGGCCTCACGCCCTCCCCGCCCTGCCCCGCCCAGCAAATGTAGGCGCAGTACAGGAGCGCCGTCCGCCCATCCTCCGAGGAGACCTGGCAAGGGAGACGCTTTGGTTCCCAGTGGCTATCCATCCAGTGGCGACCCATGGCCATGCCGAGACTCGGATGCCACTTATGCGGTGTGAGGGCGGGTGGGAGTGAACTAGACGGCTTGCGTGCGGAGAGGGTGTCTTGACCCCTCCCCCATACCCCCTCCCCTGGACCTGGACGGGAGGGGCCGCGATCGGTTGGAGGGGCCTTTTTCGGCCCCTGGGAGGGCCAATTCTTGACACTCCTCACGAGGATCGTGGCCCCCGAAGGGGGCCTCGATCGGGACCCTCCCTCCTTTGATCGATAGCCCCGAAGATGGCCCCAAGAGGCGCTCCAGGGCTCCCACCAAGAAGACCCCAAGAGAGCCCCAAGAGAACTCCAAGAGGGTCCCAAGAGGGCCCCAAGAGGCATCCGAGAGGCCCCCAAGAGGCCCCCGAGCGGCCTCAGAGAGCACAAGATAACCTCCAAGATGGCTCAGATAGCCCAAGCTAGCTCAAGATGGTTCCCAAGATGATCCAAACGGCCCCAAGACCGCTCCATGAGCATTCCTAAAGAAATCCAAGAAGCAGTTTGCCGGCTCCTGGGGGGGGAGCTGAGTTGGGGGCCCCCCCATCCCGTACTCGATGGCCTCCAAAATGATCTCAAGAAGCCTTCCAGGGTTACCAAGAGGGTTCCAAGAAGGCCCCAAAAACTCACAGAGAGCACCAGCAGCAGCAGCCGCAAGAATACCTCTAGATGGTTCCATGAGTCCTCGTCCGCGTCGTCCTCATCCTAGTCCTCGTCCTCCTCGTCCTGGTCCTCATCCGTCCTCGTCCTCCTCGTCCTCATCCTCCTCCTCTTCCCCTCGCCCCCACGCGGCACCCAGGGATGGCCCGAAGAGGTTTTCCAAGGCCACCCCCTCGCTCGCTTTGTTTCCCTAGATGTGTCGCTTCGTCCCTTTTCCCGTCAGCTCTGAAGGGCAGGGTTTCTGAATAGGCTGGTGGGTACTTTTTTGATTGACGGCTCCAAAGACAGCTCCAGGAAGCGGGACAGGCTCGGTTGGGGTGCAAACGAGATAATTGGCGACGACGGCACGTAGGCCGAGGGTTGGTGTATACTGTTTTTTTATCTGTGGTTCCAAGGACGATTCCAGAGAGCGGGTAGTATCGAGCATGGGGTGACACGCCAGATAATTACCAGCGGGCCAAAAGCCAACGCCGAGGTGCAAGCAGGAGCATGAGTAAACACGCCAGATAATTAAGAGAGGCACATAAGCCGGAGCGGGACAACGGCAGCGGAAGGTCGCACAGTGGCGCCAGCTCCCGAGGCGCAGGCCAGCGAAAGACCGGGGGGAACACGGAGGGGGAAGCAGGGGCGGAAAGCGCAGCGAAGGCGAAGCGAGCCAGGACGGACCGAGCGAGATAATTACCCGCGGGCCAAAAGCCAGCGCGGGGATGCACGGACGGGCGAGATAATTACCAGCGCCAAGAGCCAACGCCGGGAGCATGCGGGGACCAGGAACCCTCAATCACGGAGCAACTGAGGCTCATGGACCGTTGCACGTCTCCAGTAATAACGGCACCGCAGCACGGCCACAGAGAGGAGCGCGTGCCTTCCCGCCGACAACACCACGTGTAGGTGAGCCCAGGCGGGCGCACCGTGTCCGAAACAGATGTCCGCGAAGGCGAAGAAACCGACGTCAGCGCCTGCCAATGGGGGGTGCCACAGAGACGTGCAGGGTGGAACGATGGGGCGGGCCTTAGGCCGACGTACCCATGCGCTCGGACGCCCGGGCGAGCGAGGCGGGCCCAAGCTCGAGAACCAGACCAAATCCCGACGCGCGCGTGGATTATTTCAGCCAACGTCACACGGGCTAAGTCACGGTGCACCGTGAAGGAGAGGTCGCAACCACGTCATAGCGGTGCCCCACCTCCAGAGGGGAATGCAACGTGGGCCACGACCTGTCGCTGAGATGAACCAACCACGCCGAAGGCCCTGCTGTGGTTGTGGAACGAGGGGGCGGGCCTTAGGTCGACGTACCCAGCCGCTCAACCGCCCGGGCGGGCGAGGCGGGCCCGCGCTCGCGTGAGCTAGGCCAAGTCACACCGTGAGCGAGGATTATTTCAGCCGACGTCACACGGGCTAAGCCACGGTGCACCGTGGAAAGCAAATCGCAACATCCTGTCGGGGTCCCGCTTCCAGGGGAGGAATGCAGGGAGTGCCACAACACTGAGGTGAAACAACCACGACGGGCGCCCAGCTGTGGATGCCGGCGGGAAGAAGGGGGGGGGCGCAGCCGATAGCCGCAGGTCAGGTGAATATGAGGGAACTGTCGAGGGCCCAACGCTCAGCATCAGTCAAGTACGAACGCAGCGTGGTCGGGAACGTCACCGGGTCGCTGCGGCGAGAAGTAAGGTCGATGCTGTCAGAAGCGCTGGTAGTGGAGCGAGAGGGGGGTGCCTTGTCCTGTAGCCCCAGCCGCCCCAGGTGGGTGCACGGCGGGCACCTCGGGCCCATGTTAGAGAAAAGCCCAAGTGAACCGTACGACGGCAATACGGCGGCCGTAACCACACGGGCTAGAGACCACGCTGAACCGTGGGAGTCTAGATGCAGTGGGAGCGGCGCACCTCGTTCCCAAGAGGCGGCGCGAATCTATTAAGGCTGGGGCCCGCCACTGCGGTGAAACCAGCCCCTGCTGTATAGGGGCTCTCCGCGGAAGGGGCCTGCGGGGACAGTCCCTGCAGCGTCTGTATCCTCGTGACCTCTGCTCCTGTGGGCGGCAGAGGGGCGGCAGAGGACCATCGGACTGCCGACCCACTGTGCCCCACAAGGCGCGTCGGGGGACCAAATGGCCCACAGTGTCAGCGCAATGGAGACAACCTTGTATACGGAGGTGGAAGCAGTCCCCAACTGTCCGAGGTCGTTGTCGTCGAGAAAGCATGCGCGGCGCTCTGATACGGGTCGAGTGGCGACTCGTAGAATGGACATGACTAGGGGGAAAGGCCTTGAGCCGCAGATGAGCTGCAGGACAGCGGGGAACTCCCTCCATCTGTCTCCCATGGAGGTGCTGCCATCCTGGGCCTGGGGAGCGGCAGTGGGGCAGCGCTCCGCCAGGGTGAGGCCGTCAGGCCCACCTGCGGGCGGAGTCCCACCCGCGCTGTTGTTTGTCAGCATACTGAGCGTCTCCTCTGGGGGCCGAACGTTTCTCCCTGGTCCTCCAGTCGGAGCCGGACCACGTGTCCTGGCGGTGGTCCCACTCTTCCCATGCCTGCCATGTCTCCCATCGGGCTGCGGCACTGGGTGGGGTTGTCTGCTCGGCGACCCTGTAGTCGGTGTACACCGGAGGGGGGCAGGCGGCCTCCTTTGGTTTGCTCCATGGGTGCCGTCGTTCATCCCTGGTAGGCTCGCTTGAGGCAGCCAATTGCGCGGGTTCCCTGTCGTCGGAGGAGGCTGAGGGGGGACGAGGCGCCGCCTTGCTGCCGTCTGCCCATGGGTATGGGCGTGCGCCACCCTTGGGGCCGTCGTGGTACGTCCTGGTGTTACGCTGCAGCTGCTTGCGATGTCTGTCCGTAATGGTTGGCCAGTCTACGCGGAGCTGGTGTTCGTCGTCCACCCTGTAGGCGTCGAAGCCCGCTTGGCCCCATGCCTGGAGAAAGTCTTCGCAGAGCTGCACGGAGTTCTTCATGGGGTCGGACTTGATGCTGACCCGCGGGCCCCCGTGCTTGCTGACTGGCTTACGGACCCAGGCGGGCCAAATCCCGTTGAAGGCGCCTCCCAGCGTTCTCTGCAGTCGGCTGATCTTGTCCTGCGCTGGCTCTTCCTTGTTGGTATCTGCTTCGCTGATGGAGCTCAGGTACATGGGGAGACCGCACATGAGGTCGTCAGGTCGCGCCTGTGGAACGGATGCGATTTGCGGCTCGCTTCCTCGGCCTGTGCTGCGCTGCCGCCAAGAGGCTGGGGGGCTCAGTGGCGGGCGTTCTGCGTGGCTGAGAGTGGCGTCCTCGGGAATTGAAAGTCGGTCGGGGTTCTGCCTTGTTTTCAACTAGCCTCAGCCTTCTGTCGAGCCTCCGATCGTCGCACATTGCGGCCTGGTATGAACGCGACTATTCCCTGGCGTAAGGCGACCAGGCTCTGGACTCGGCACGCTGCGGGGGATTGGTCCACAGGACTGGCGGACTGTGGGAGGCACCACTGTCGCTGTGCTCTGGGGTGTCGGCATTGACCACTTGGCGTGCTGGACTGGCTCGGGCCTCGGGGTCGTTCTTGTCTTGGCGGGCTCCATGCGCCTGCCATTCTGACTCTGGCGGGCCCCAGTCTAGCTCCTCATCGCCGCCGCCACTTCCATAGTCGCGCGGAGACGGAGCCCCCCCTCCCTCACCGCTGGACTGCACTGGTGCGTCAGGCGGCTGGGGGATGGCTTGAACGGGGGGGGTCGGGCGAGGTCGCCCGGGGGCGGAGCCAAATCGCGTTGGGGGATCCTTCCTCTTCCGCACCGCGGGTCTTTCCGTCCTTCCGCGAGCTGGCCAGGAGCTCGATTGTTCCTTCTGCGAGGTCGTCCTTGTTTGTGATAGCAAGTTGGTAAGTGTATCCAGTGGCTGTCGTTGTGGGCATTGATCTTTCTGGCTGTCGAGTTTGCCAACGTAGCTTCGCCAAGCCTCCTTGTATTTCGTGCTGCGCTCCACTAGGTGCGCGGCCACGTTGGCTGCGGCCGCCCTCCGCCCGCCCCACTGGATGTGAGGGGGATGCCCGTTCGTAGGTATATCGCCCCCGTAGATGGACTGCAGGAACTGCATCAGGCGCTCGTGGACCACGCCGACTCGTCTGTCACCTCACCCACGATTTCCCTTCCCAACCGCTGGGTGTGGGCCGCCCAGAGGGAATAGACTGAGTGGCTCCACTCGATCAGGAACTTGACCATCTCGCGGACGGGGCCCCACGACTGCTCCCCACCGAGACGGCGGGTGGAGCAAGTGGGAAGTGGGGGCGCAGTGGGTGGTGGGAGATTCGGTAGCGAGAGGCTGCGA